GCAATCCAACCATCTATCTTTAACACTTTACATTAATGCTCTTAAATACTTTACTTCCGTCACTTTTGTCATGTATTTATGTTTTATTATTATGTATTTTATCCCTCTCGTAGTACTTGCTTAGGCACTGTACTGATGACATTTGGCACTAAATTGTTTTTGTATACTTCTATCATTTTTGTAATGTACTTATGTATTATAATTTATTGTATTTCTCTTGCAGTACTTGTTGAAGCACTGCACTGACGATGTGGGGCACTAATTAGTTATAATGCTCAGGGGCCACGGACGAAAATGAGCTATTTAGTGTTGATTAATGTGCATTGTCTCAGGTAAATAAATAAAATAAAATAAAATAGATTAGGATTCATTTAGAGTCATGTGTCTGGCCATCTGGCAAATTTAACTTTAATTTTTAGCGTTACTTTGGTCTCCACCAACTCCTTACAAAATATGTCTCTTGAGCATCACTGCTAAATGCTTCACCATGTTCACCAGCTAGTTTGCCTGTGGGTAGTATACAGTGGCTTTACCGAGCCATTACATTACAGTCATTTGACCTATTCTTCTTATGAAAATATGATTAGTGCAGCTTTAATAATAATGTGTGGATGTGGGTCTGTGAGAGGCACAAATACATGCACACATGTGCGCACAAAACACACACACACACACACACACACACACACACACACACACAGAAACAAGACTTTCTTTATGGAGGCGGGTTGGGGAAGCCCCACCAAAACCCCAGCAGCAGTGAGTCCCTTGGCTGTTCCCTCCACTACACCCTGGGCACACAGAGAATACCAGCTATTCTGCTGCGATCGTGTGGCCCTGCCAACAACAGCAGCAGCTAAAGAGAGGGAAGGGAAGCCTGGCTATGGCCCACAACCTAAAATAGACTCTATAAATAAAAATCAAGCAACATATTTAGGTCTAGTGTATAAAAACATTGTTTATACACGATTGTGATGTTTACCTAAATCCTATTTGTGGACACAGAGGACCGCAGACATTTCATATCTGAATGAATTGTCCTCTATGAAAAACTCCATCTGCTCTCGCTCCTCATGAAGAGATGTACAATCCATTCTGAATTGTAAATATCCAAAGTGGGTTGAATGTGTTTAATTACAGGATGTGCAGCACATCTACAAGAACCCAGGCTGTGAATGCTCTCTGTTGTATAACAGAACCAGCAAATCATAACAAATTGTTACACAACTGTAGAATATTCTCAACAGTGGCATTATGTTGTGTTCATTCAGGAGCTGGCTACTGTTTACTGGCATGTATTTTTTGCCACTGCTAAAAATATCCACCCACATCTCAGGAAAAACAAGGCAGAAGTTGCATTTCACACATAGAGCATTAAATCAGCAGCACGTCTCTCGATAAACTCCAACGAAAACCTGCCCCTGCTTGTACTGCAGCTTTTTGGCTGCCATTGCAGACTTGCGGAGAGAATACCTCTTTCAACAGGGGTGTGACTGATTGATAAGGCGATTGAATTTCAAAGTAGCAATAACTGAATAACAGTAAAAAGGCAATACTGCAGATACTGAAGCATACTTTGATCACTATTGGGTCAGAAAGGACATAGCTAATCCTGATGAACTCGGCTCACCAGTGTGGTTAAAGTGTTATGACACATCTGCAACGTTAACTTACACTATGGAAATCAATAAGCATGTCTTTGAGAATCCAGAAGGACACAGTTTAGCTTGTGTTCACTAAGAGGGATTAAAGCTGAGTTTTACTGCCACCAAGAAGGAACATCTATGCTTGCTTAATTGCTAAGACGTGTTATTGAGGAGAAAGCTGCCTTGATCCAATATCTGTTTCTTTAGCTGTGTGATACTAATAAACTGGATCAGGATGCAATCGTGCAAGTCAGTGGAACATAAATAAAGCTGCGTGGTGCACATTTATAAAAAAAATAAAAATAAAGCATTGGTTGTTCTCCGGAATACAATAAGTGGCACACAGTCATGATTTCAAAGTGTTGACAAAAGGGAGACAGGGATAATGAATCTAAAATATCTGCGTGAATGACTGTGCTTATTTGTATGCATTGAGAAAAATACGGTGGGACATCAAGGGGTGCAGTTACACCGAGAGGGGAGGTTTGGAGGTAATGAATAAGATATAGGTAAGTAAAAGTGGAAGAGATGCCAGAGTGGCACAGGCAGCATGAATAGACGGAGTAAGGTGGTATGATGGTGACAGAAGATGGGAAGAAGGGAGAAAGCTGGAGGCTGTTTATGGATGAAAATGCGATTCCTGAGAGTGTGTAATGTGTGCCTGCGAATGATAAAGACGGGTAATTAGTGCCTTATCTACTGTTAAGCAGACAACTCACACTCAAATGTGTGCACATTAACACAAAACACAGGCCTCAGCGTGCAAGTGTTGATATACACATGCACACACGTGCAAAAACCACTCCTTAAATATATCTGTAAAATATTATCCATCCCCATCAAAAGGAAAACCCGTGTGTTCTGAAATCCTCATTAAGTGGGAACCTCTAATCCACTACTCCATATTCCTCTTTTGCTACTCTCTCTTTTATTCTAATCTATTTCTACCATTGCTTCAGTGTGAACAGATCTACACAGAAACAGCTGCTGGGGGAATGTTCAGCTCACCAGTAAACATGGGAGAGAAAAGAGACTGCACTGGAAAAACAGAATCACTCAGACATTTATAGAAAGCACAAATATGTGAATGTGTGAATGAAGTGTATAGACGCCTACAGCTTTAAAGACAGACACATGCACACATTGCACACAAACATGACAATCATGAGCATCATACTGATTGCTTGCAGATTGCTTCATACTAGTCCTCTGTGTCTTCTCAGTAACTTATGTAACTGTAAAAAGGAGTATTAATGAGAGTCTGTTGTAGACAACCTTTTCCCCTTCTCACACACACACACACACACACACAGACGGCTATCTCTTCAAATTAACACTTCTAAAACACGACATTCATGCCAGCAGTAAGAGGAAAAAGCTTGGCTGCAGGTACAAATGAAGTCCCTGCGGGTGCCACTGCCTCCCATCTGTTACTGTAATTCTCTATGCAATCTTGTCAGCTCTCCATAGTTGCTGTTTTGCTGTCATTAGGCGTTGGTTTGTGACAGATTACTTGTGTAATGAGGCACCGCCATTATTCGCAAATATTGAATTCTGAAATAAAAGATGTGCATTTTAACAGTCTCCTGTGGTTCTTACCCGCCTTCAAAGATGCGAACACGAGAAGCCTCGCTCTGTTTGGAGGTAGAGGGTCCTTCCTCTTCTCTCATCTCTTTATTCTCCTCCTGTTCATGCTGCTGCTGATCCTTTACTTTTGTGAGGGTGACGGGTGGGGTGGCATGTACCTACACTCAAGACACACATAGAAAAATTCAAAACAACTTAAAATAAAATGTTAACTGGTTTATTGTTAAAAGAGTACTCCAGGCTCATGATGGACAGTTAAAACAAAAAAGAAAAGAAACAACATTGATGCGACCGAACCAGAGATTCCTTGTCCTTCCTTGTCAAGACCAGTGGTGGAAAAACAGTATGATATTCTATAGACGTTTATGGTCTCTTTAACACAGTGGTCAACATTAACTTTTAAGTACAGTAAATGTATATTATGGTTATGTTTACCTCTGACACACGTGGGGTTCTGCTACTGGCAGGGGCCAATTTGCTTTTGGCAGGAGTCGGGGCCATGGCCATGGTGTACGTCTCTGAGCTGTGCTTCTGTTTGGAGCACAGTAGAGACAACGCCACCTTAGTGCTTAGGCCCGGCAAGTTGGGGTTGTGAGCACTGACGCTCCAGGTAGAATAGACTGAGGTGTGTGGGTCCCTCAGGGCAGATGGGTTGGGTTTGACATAGTTCAGGTAGCACCAGTTGACTGAGGTGGAGGTGTGGAGACTGGCGTATGAAGGGGTGCTTGGTATTTCAACCCCCTCTTCCACAACAGGCACCTCTACCTTTTTTTTACTTGTCATCTCAGTTGACTCCTTCTCCTCCTCCTTCTTTTCCTCCCTATTATGTTTCCTTGGTACTTGTTCCTGCTCTTCTTCCACTTTCACAGTTGCAGCCTCTAGCCTTTCTGGTTGTTTTTTCTCTCCCTCTTCCAGTTTTCTCCCAGTGGCTTTACTTTCTTCTTCCTGTCTTACCTTCTGTTCTCCATCCTCCTCCTCCTCTCCTGCCTTATGTGGCTCCCCCTCCTCTTCCTCTTTAACCCTTTTCTGGTGACGTTTGGCCTCTGTACTGAGCTCCAGACTGGCTGCAGGAGAAAGCATGCGTTTACTTCCTCCAGCCCCCAGTGGACCGTATCCCTCTCCAGATCCTGAGGCCAGCTCCGCAGGCAGAGATAGGGGAAGAAGGCTCTTGATGTCTGGGTAGGGGACTTTCAAGTAGGACCTTTGCAGCTTGTCCCGCTCCACCTGGCCCATGATGACCATAGCTGTGCAAGAAATGGGTTCCTGTGAGCGAGTGGAGGCCAGGATCTGGGACAGGGTAGTATACATGGCACTAGCATAGGTAGGTATATACGTCTGGAGTCGCACTGGGACAACAAGGGAGACTACTGGTGTAAGCTGTGCCAGGCATGTGGCGATGACCGGCCGTGGGTGGTGGTAGGATATTACAAGGGATTGATGGGTAAGGGCAGACGACATGGAAGAGATGGAGGCTCTGCTCTCTGTAGTGGGAGGAGTATGTGCAGTAAGTCTTGGAGGAAAAGGCAAGTACAGAGCCTGTCTAGCTCTAGTCCTGGAAGAGAACTGGAGAGGAACTAGATCAGGAAGCTGGTGGAATGGTATACCCAACCGTTCTGCCACGTGGACCTGTGCTGGATGTATCTGTATAGGTGGAGGTCCTGTCTGTGAATGTAAGAAGGCTCTGTGGATGATTTGGGTGGACAGTACATCAGTGATGCCTGTGGTGACAGGGAGTAGCTGGGAGAATGACCCTGTGGAAAACACTTGCTGGACTCCGGGATGCAAAGGGAGCACATCCTGAGAGGATGGGAAGATTTGTGGCTGTGACAGCTGCAAGGTTTTCCCCGTGGCTTCCAGGCTGAACTGGGAGCTTGCCTCAGTTGAGTAGAGAGGAGGATGGATGGAGCGGGAAGGCCCAGGCTTTGGACTCTCTGCTCTGGACAACTGACTCATGCTGGCCCCCTCCTCCTGCTCAGGTTCTCCTAAGGTGGCATGCTTCACAAGGAGACACTTTCTCCTTTCTTTCCAGGAGGATGCAGGCTGCTGTGGGGACAGGGACCCATAGTCAAAGGACTTACTTCTGGTCTCTGAGATCTGCTCTGTTTGTTGGGGGCTGGTTGGGGCCTGCTCTGAGGCTGAGCGCCTCATCTCTTTGTGGCTTTGGTGGTGTTGGTGGGAAGTGGATGGCACCATCAACATCTGGGAGCTTTGGCTACTGGAGGCCCGGGCGGCAGGCTCTGACCTTGCTGTGTCCTCAAAAGAAGCAGAAAGGCTTGAAGTGTGGGAGATGTTGCTCTCTTGACTGGGGCTGCGAGGCAGAGACACAGACTCAAAGCTAGACTCCCCAGAGGACTGGGCTGCTTCTGCCAGGCGGAGTCTCTTCTTCTTTGGTGGCAGCTTCTCCGCTGGGAGCTGGGCCAGAGTCTGGCTACGCTGAGGCCACTGGAACTCCTCCACTCTCTCTGCCTCCTAGGATAGACAAATAGTTTTGTAATTTAACATTCTGTGTAATATGAAGGACATGGACTGCTCACCAGCTAAAGAGTTTACATAGGAAGCTGGAATTAAAGAAGAATTTAAATCAAAAGCAAAACAGCCTTAAATCAATGCATGTTTCACATTTATTTAACATGAAACATGCAATGTACGAAGGCCCTTATTTTAGAGGGGAGCTAGATGAAATAGGTAAACAAAAGCAAGGCAGTCCAATTGAATAAAAGGTACAAACATGTATAGCCAAATGCTACTTTAAATAATTATGGACCTTGGATGAGGATGCTGTCACTGGTGGTGACACAGATGGCATGTCAGCATCAGGCTCCACAGTAACAAGGATCTCTGGCACTTGGATGTTTGGCTGGCGGATGAGGCGAGATGTGGAGGGTGATGGTTTTGGCTCGGTCTGTTGTGTTTGCTGACTCTCTCTGAGGTCTGGTTCCTGACTTTCCATGCATATACTCTCCTGCTTCTCAAAAGAGCTTGTGTGTTGGATGACAGACACACCCTTCCTGTCCTGCTGCTGCTGTTGTTTTGGCTCAGTCTGCAAAGAAACACCTTGAAACAAGCAAAATAAACAACAAATTAGCTACCATCATATGATATTGGTATACTGTATATCTTTTCTTTAGCTATTCAGGTTTAATGAGGATGAAAAAGAAAAGAAATGTATATCTCACAGAAGATAATGTTGCTTCTGCAAGGATACATAAACAAACCTGAGAGGCCCTGGCTGTGCTCTGGTCTACTTGGCACAGGAATGAGGCCTGCAGAGCTGCCTGACATGGCTACATATCCAGGGCTAGGAGGATCCTCCTCCAGACTTTCCTCTTTCCTCCTTTTTCTCACAGCCATGGCCAGTGCTCGAAACTTATAGTGCATCATCATCTGGGGACGATCCTCTCTACCCGTTTTACTCACATCCCCGCTCTCCTGTTCTAGTGTTTGCTGCCCTGGGCATATGCCTCGGTGGGCCTCGTAGCCTTCACTGTGTTGGAAGTGACCCCCACATGCATCACATTCAAACAGACTAGGACTCCTTTGCTGTTGTTGTTGCTGCGGCTGCCTGGCTAGTTCAGTGCCTCTGGCTGAGGAGGAGGAAGTGGGACCGGCCTCCTCCAGCATTAACTCTGCTCCCAGTGGAACTTCTATGGCAGGCTGGCGCCTCAGCATACGCTGGGCATGGCCAACCCTCATCTCTGCTACCACGGCTTGCTGCTCATCGAATGACTGGCAGAGACGGTAACCTCTGGGAGACATGGTGCCAGAGGTAGAGGGCTCTCCTTGGTTCGTAGATGATGGCATTGAGTGGCTTCTAAGCAGAGGCACTGCTGACAGCTCCTGTGAACCTGATGGATCTGCCTCAGGATTGTGCAGGTGCCTCAAACCACTGGGGCCAGGGGCTTCTCCTTTGGGTCAAATGTGTAGGGATCTTTAGTGGTGGTAAATTTGGGTGACTCCATGCTGCTCTTTCTGGACAGAGAGGAGCGTCGTGGTTTTACGCTGTCAATCTCACTGGTGTCTACAACGGCTTCATTGATTGTGATGAGCTTGGTAATGTGTTCTATGACTTGGGTTTTGGGTACAGCAAAGGGAATGCTCTTGTCCTCCATTCCTGAGGATGAGGAAAGTGAAGAATGAGGCTGCTGCTGATGGGGACTGCGCTGCTGCCCTCCCAGCCTTCCATATTTCCCTAGAATAATTTCTGCGTATGTTTTAGCACTGGCACTGGGAGTGCTAACTTGGCACAGGTCAGTGCTGCCTGAGCCGGAGAAGTAGCCAGACTCTGTGCTGCCCTTACTGCCAGGGCCCAGAGAAGAAGATGAGGTGGAGAGGGAGGAAGAAGGCGGGTCATCTGGAGAAGCCAGTGGTCCCCGTTTCCTTTCACTAAGCCTAAGTGCCAGCCTTTGTTTGACAGCCTGGGAGTCTTCCGGCCTCTGGCTCTCCTCTGAGACTCCCAGCAGCTCCTTACCAACTTTCCTCTGCTGGCCCAACATCTCCTTGGAGGAGGATTTTCTGTGTTGGCCCGTTTCTTCTTCAGACTCAGTGCTTTCTCCTTCTGTGTGTTCCTCAGGGTCTTCTCCGATGCCACTGCCCTCTGGTCCACTCAAACTGGGCTCATCGCGACTAGCCAGGCCTGCTTTAATGCGATGGGCATGGGACTTGCGGTGCTTGTACAGGTTGCTCTTGGTCTTGAAAGAAAAGCCACAGGGGGCACAAGGGTAGGGTCTTTCTCCTGTATGGGAGCGAATATGTTTCTGAAGAACGCTTGGCTTGGCACACGGACGGCCACAGTAAGTGCACACATATTTCCCTGGTTTTGGGGGTTTCTTCTCCCCTTTTCTGGGTGAGCTGACCCCTTCTCCGCCCTCTTGGCTGGACTGAGATGGGACCCCATGACCATGCTCACCCCGGGTGGAAGAAGTAGAGGGGAGAGATGAGGTTGATGAGGAACTGGAGATAAGAAGCTGCCTCCTGAGGGACCTGGGGTGTCTGAATGCTGCCATACTACTGCTTGCTGCTGCTGTAACCGAAGCAGAAGGTCAGTGCGTTTGGGTTGACGATTTTGCAGGCGACCCAAGGCTCTGTGTACAGGACGAGTATTAGGAGGCTGCTGGGGCTGCTGAGGTGGACAAGATCCTAGTGAGGATTCAGCTGTCACATGCTGCTGCTCTTGCCTTCCAGAGCGGTCCCCATCAGCCGGACGGCTGGGCTCAGCCTCCATAGAGTGGGGAGGAGGCCTCAAAGACACACAAGGAAGGGCTCTCTGAGCCTCATGGGGCTAACAGCATGGCAGCAGAGAGGTCAGAGGCAGTGGAACATCAACAGGGTGAGATGTAAATCACAACGGAGGGCCTTTTTCAGTGTGGGCCAAAAGTTATTCAAGAGGACCAAATTAGGCATCATTAAAAGGTGCCCTGGAGCTGCATGGATGCAGGTAAACATGGATCATCTCTCTGTACAAAATAGCTTTGCTTATGTTGAGCCTCAGCCATTCTAACAGCCCTCTCAAGGTCTTTGCTGCATCTCCTTTGTTAGTTGCCAAGGGCGTTAGCCGTTCAGCTTCTGAATGGGTCTAAAAAACACAGAAAAAGACAAGGAAGGACTGAGTTACAAAAGTGAAAACATATTTATACATTTATTAGAATCTCTAAAAAAGGTTATGTCACAAAGGGCTATATTAAGTGCAGTATAACATTTCCAGTTTTTCTAAATACAAGTTTAAAAAAGAGTTAAATAAAGACAGGCCTCCAAAAAGCCTGCCATGCAGTCTGACAAAGAGTTACATTGGTAGAGTAAAAGGCTAAATCAGTTGTGCCCTATTATCAAAACTCCTTATTAAAAATTGCCCCCACATATCAAACCATGACAAATAGGGTTACCTTTCCTGGTGAAGTGTTGAGTGGGCTCAGTGTTGTAATGACAATATAAGGTTCTGCATCATCTGCGTTATTTGTCACATCTAGTATCTAGTAAGAATGCATGTCCACAGCTCAAATTAAAAACTCCCTTCAAGTCGAGACTTTTACTAACATTTTTCTGGCGCTATGGTTTTATTATCAAGATTGTTGTCTAATGATAAAATGTAACTCTAAGTCTGTCCTCTCTGACGGGGGCCTTGCCTGGTCACCTCTGCTGTCTATTCTGTTCCACGTTGAAAGGAATTGCCAGTGTTCACACCCCCTTGGTTACCAAATGAGTTTACCGCCATGTGACATTAGCAATGTAATTGTGAATGGTAATCATGTAATGTATTTTATACAATACTGTGTTGTACAATGTAATCATCGCAGTGGTCCCTTGTGGCTCTGTTGGTAGCACTAAGCTACTAACACTAAGGTTGTGGGTTTGAATCCCACGGAGGTCCGATAAAAATCTCATGTCTTAGAGTGGTGATTCTGAGGTTTTCTATCTGAACATATCAGGCAAAATAAATAACAATAGATGTATATTAAGCAGATTTTTCAGTGACAATTAATCAGGAACAATGAGCATATTGAGCAAACGGTATTTTAACAGTAGAGAATAAAATTGTATCTAAAGCATGTACTTTGTATGAACATGTTGTTTGTCTTTCTAGATGTTTTTTGTACTCAGTCAATGTAATTGTGAAAAAAGGTCTTTTTGATGATCTGTTGTGTTTTTTGTAGACTGGTGAAATATTACCACATACGTGTGTGAACAGTACTATAGCGACATAAAAAAATGTAAGACAGATCTTATTCATATCTGACCCATGACTGGTCTACTCTGCAGGACTCAGAGCGACTCAGAGCAGCTCAGGGCCAGCCAGGCAACATCCACAGCACAGGCACTAACAGAGGAGACCACAGTGTCAGGGCAAGGAGTCAAAACAAATGTTGGAAATATAGCCTATGCTTATCTGATCTGGCACTAAAGCTAAAGGGGGTAAATGGAGGGTTGCTGTTTTCTAGTGGCTAAAGGGACTTGACAGCAACTGGGTTTTAGCCTACGACCCTCAGCCACCAGGGTGCAGTGTTTATGAGGGTCCAGGAGTGGTTGCTTGTTATAAACTGTGAAACTTCTATCAAGATGGATCTATTGTAATATTTCCCAATTGCACACTACTACGCTGTGTTTATGAAGAGCCAAGTATAGCTGATCACGGGGACTTGAGGGTACGATATCTCCTCTTTTATCAAGATGTATGCTCTGCAATATTTCCCACTTACTACAAATCCTGCACTCCGTCTCAACTTGAGACACAGGATTCTTGTATCGCAGCCAATCAAAACACATTCTGGGAATGGATGGGGCCAATCATAACATTTTCACTGAGTAGCCATGCCCAACCGCTGACAGTCCCAGCACAGGCTCATCCAGAGTATTAATCATCGTCTTAGACAATGAGGCTACTTGCAACCCCCAGACTCTGCCAGACTCTGGAGATCAGAGCTCACTGAAGGAGCGTGCTGTATGGGTTAACCTCACAGCTGTAGATGTATTTGATGGTGTCGACAGTGTGCACCACCTCTGATGGCGAATAGCATACCAGAGAAGATAAAAAGATAGGGGGTGGGGTGTGGGACAGGAAATGCATAGATATTCTATAATATTAGAGATATGCATAGGAAGTAGGAGTAAGATGAAGTGAGACGAGGTAGGGTAGAGAGAAATGACTAAATCAGTGATCCAGTGGCTGAATAAACAGGCCCAGCAGAAGACTGCAGCTTAAGGTGCCAGCGGTGGCAAGGGAGGCGCTGACAGTTTTTTTTAATGAGCCACACTTTTGCTTTCTCCATGTGTCTAAAAAAACACAGTCAGCCGCCTTCATTAGAGCCAGTTTACAGTCGGGGGGGGGGGGGTCAGTCTTCCTCTTGGAAATAACTTGACAGATTCTCGGCTCCATCTCCACGTTCCCCCACATCTGCTAAGGGCCGATCATCTGTTTAGTGTGTGTTTCTCCAAGCAGACCAACGCTTTGATTACAGCAGACTTTTACCTTCAACACACAGCAATTAGGCAGCATAACTAACCGAGTCACCATTAAAATTCAGTTCTCTGTTTTCATTTGCCTGTCTTCCACCTTTTTTAGCTGTATAGGAAGGCTTTTGAATGTTGTGGCGGCTATACTTCTTTCTGCCTTGAGCTGGTGAGCCGGAGAGACACATTACTCTCTAGAGTTGCATGTAAGTAAGTTAGATCAGGAGGGAATGAGCTTTTAAACAAGTTATATATCAGATCCTGACTAAGGGAAGAGAGTTGTTCTTCACACACTTGAACTTAAAAAAAAATATTTGATGATAATAAAAACAGCAGATAAAAGACGTGGAGCAACCAAGTGGATAAAGATGGATAAAAAGTGAGTTTGTCTGGATGTGAAGAAGAAGAAGAAGGATGCTGCTGTGCATAGAAAAAAAAACACTTGCACAAAGAGCAAGATAAATTGTCTTCCTCAATCCCTCTGTAATAATTGTCTTTCTTCATGTAGTTGTGTTATCAGAGTGTAAGTTTAATGATCTCTGGCATAGTGGTTGATGCAGCCCTTAAACAGGGCGATTAGAAGGTTTTTAGGTTGGGGAGAGCATTGCTTACATTATTCATGGCAGTCTAGACTGCCAGCTCTGAGCGGGGAAACACACAGTCAGGGCTTTGCCAGGAAGATGAGGGAAAGGAATGCCAGTCCAGCCTACATTAAGCTGAAACACACACACACACACCCTACAATGCACATACAGTGTACAGTATTACTCTCACCAGAGCAATACCCACTAACACACAGCAGTCCTAAATCCAATCTGACACGTCTGACCAGCAAATCAGCTGCAGTGCCCTGAGGTGACCTACTCTGGTTCCACTCAGCCAATCCTCCTGCTGTTTGACGAGGGGGTTTCCTTTCTCATCATCCCCATTCCACAGAGATGACTTGTTATCAACGGCGCCATCACAGTTTAATGCAGTGTGAGCTTACACAGTAAATGCACCAATAGAAATCAGTTGCTCATAGGTGAAACATATATTATAATGGTAAGACCTCTGCTAAAACACACAGGTTCTGTAAATTTGTCTAAACTTATTGATGAGGGTGGGGCAAGGGCGTCGTTTACTCTATTTTTAGGCAGAGGTGTGAGCAGGAAGCCACTGATGCAGCTGTTCTACTGTGCTGTTTTCTTTTGATAGGAGACGTCAAATCAATACCACAAAGCTAATATTAGTAGCAGTTACAAAACAGCAAACTCTGAATACATGAGCATTTTATCCAACCCCTCCCGGTTTTCCACTTCCATCTTGACCCATTGTATGATAATTCACGGAACAGTCTCTTGGCGTATGCCACGATTTGTTGTGTGAACTAGTTTCTGGTGTCTGTGCCTAAAATGTGATTAACGACTGGTCCACAGAGAGAAGAGACGAGAATGAGTGAGGAATGTGTGCAGAGATGTGTGTATGTGTGTGTGTGTACATGCAAACGGGCTTTGTCAGCAGAAACAGGCACTGACGCTGGTACCCAAGGGAGCCCTGACACACGGAAGAGCTCACACTCCATATCCTTCACACACACGCGCACACACACACACACACACACACACACACACACACACACACACACACACACACACACACACACACACACACACAGCCTCCTTCCATCATCGCTGCTGTGTCTATTAAGTCCAGCAGTTATACTTCTTAATCCCATTAAACAAACATTTAGCTCAACTCCTTCTCAATAAGTAGCGCAGGAGCTTTGCAGCCGTTCGTACAGTTAAAACTTCATTCTCACGCACAGGAGAGTACGGCCGACAGAGGTTGCGTTCCTCATCAATACCTAGACACATTCATGCAGCTGGTAATGATGGATACAAATACGGGCTACAGATAGAAAAGATAAACCCACTTAAGTGCTTTTTTAAAAATCTACTGTTATACCCCCCCAACACACAAACACACACATCTCTCGCTTACTGGCAGTAGCCTGGTGCAGGTTCCCATGGAAACCAGCCTACTCTGAGCAACGGCAGATGGAGAGGGAGCTGGAGGTCTAAATTTATCTCCCAGCATCCTTTCTCACTACATACGCACACTGGCAGCAGGAAGTGAGAAGGGGAAATGCTTGGCCTCCACATGCATTGACAAGCTGGCATGACCCTTGACATCTAACCCCCCTTTGAGTGTTGACGGTTTGATGTCACAGCACATGAATACATACAGTACTGCCTGCGACGGCTTGAACCACAGCAGTCAAAATCTCAATGAAGCAACACCACATTTGATACTGTACAAGAGGCTCTGCAGCATTCCCTAAGTATAAGGTAAATGGAAGGTTACGTCATTCCCCTGCCACCACCTCCACCACCACAAACAGAGCTGTCAATCAAAGTCAAGCCCCAAATCCTAGACAGTTACACCATCCAATCACGGAACCACAAGAAGACAAAAGTTTGGTTGGATAGTAAATAACTGGAGAAGACAGAACCAGACGCCAGATAGAGTATAAAACCTCAGAGGCCGAGACTCAAACTCACCCAGGGATATCACTGCTGTCAGTAGAAGCTGAGTGCGAAGGAGGACGCCGTCTGAAAAAACACCACATACCAGAGCGCTCACTCACTCTCTCTCAGCTCTGTGCAGGACACATCAGGATCGCTGTTCCTCTGAGGCGAGAGGGTGTAGAGAAGGATTTCACAGGGCTTTGATAAGACTGGCAGTTCACAACCATCGCAGTGTTCACTTTGATTAAACACAAGCCAGTGAACTGCGGGTCAATACCAGCCTTTAAATCAAACATGAGTGGCATGGCAGAGCAAGGTAATGCACACCTCGTCGTCAGAAAAAAAGGTTGCGCTGAGAGTTTTAATAATACCCCTGGCAGCAGAAAATCTATGCCTTTTGTGACATAATCAGCTGTAGAAACAAACTGACCACAACTTGGACTAAATTGCAGGTTACTGGGTTTTTCCATTTTGTTATTTGCGGCCAGGACATTCACGGATGGAAATCATCTTTTTGGAGTCACTTTGTTTGTCAGTTTTAATTATATGGTCCAAAAATTGTCTCAGGGGGCTTTACCTCTGATAGGAGAGGAGCTCTATCCTTAGACCTTCGATTGATTGGGATAAGAAACAAGTTCCATAAATGCAGGAAAAAGGGAGAAACACCAGGCAAAATCGAAAGAGGAGGGGTCCTTCTTCTAGAACAGACATTCAATAGTAATTCTTGTCCCACAAAGCAGACTCTATCCAACTTAAATTAAATCTGCAAATTTGAATACTTGTATCATAATGTCCATTTAGTTCAGGGACACCCTTTGACGTGCTAAAACACTTAAAACACCTCAGGCATGTTGTCCTTAAACTGGTGGAGTCTTTGACATTCACATAAGAGACAAACTTAAATCCTTTAATTTACAAAACACTCCTCTAAGTGCTAAGGTGCCAGATTATAAGGACCAAATGACAGATTTGCAATTATTAACAATACCATGTGAACACAAGTCCACACGACTGGAACAGCTGCAACAACTAAATAACTCATTTGCCATAGCTGACGAGTAAAGTAATAATAGGGAGGGATAGAGAAAGGGGAAAAGACTGAGGAGGGAGAGGAAGATAGAGAGACTAAGACAGAGAGTGCGGGAGTTGGTTGCAGAGAGAGAGAGAGAGAGAGAGAGAGAGAGAGAGAGAGAGAGAGAGAGAGAGAGAGAGAGAGAGAGATCAGACAGAGTTTAGATTACCTGACAGAGCAGTCTGGTCTTCCCCCTCAGAGACGCTTCACAGGCACTGTGAGACAAGCAGGGAGAGCCAGAGAGTGAGAGCGGATATGACTGTTTGAGTGGGTGTGTTGCAGAGAGCGGGAGAGGGAGAGAGAGAGAGGCTGGGGGTGATGCAAATAAAAAGAGTGATGGAGAGAGAAGGAGAGAGGAAGAACTAAATGAATGTTTCCACTGTACAAATGGGAGGGGAGGAGGAAGATGCGGTAGCAGGAAGAAACTAAAAGCGATGCATATTCCCGTATTCCCGAGTAACATCCCAAAAAAATCACCATGGTCTCTGAAACCACAGCAATAGACACATTTCTTATTGTTAATGCAGCCAAAGTGCACGGCAAACCAGGGCAGTGAAAACAAAAACACGCACCTACAGATTCATGAACATCTGCTGCTGATTCTTCAACTCTCACATATTCAGCAACGATGACACACTGCCAACAGATAGGATTACAAACACTGGGGCTTTCCCCTGGAACGCAGAACCCCGGAGGCGATTCCTTGCAATTATCACCTCCTTATCAGCAAAGTTATCTCATTGTAGCGGTGTGGGAAGGATAAAAAAATTCAGCTACCTTCTTCCTAAGTGACAAACCCTCTGCCTCCACGAACATGTCTCGTTTACATAAATCTTCCAGTTCCAGCCAGAGTGCCACTGTGCTGCATCTGTAAATTAATTCCAGAATGGCATCCATTCAAGCAAGCCCCCGCATTACGCAGAACCCAGGCTAGGCCTATCAGCAGTGCAACACGAGAGAGAGGGAGAGAAACAGAAAGAGAAAGAGAGAATTGAGAATGAACGGAGGCCCTGCTGTTCCATAGAGCTTTGCCTCATTGGCAGAGCACAGGAAGTGTGAGTCACACACTCTAAAATAAACACACTCACACAACGACGAGCCGGCACACAGAACGAGCGGATGGCCAGGCTACTGATCAGAAGGCAGGCACTGGGAACATGGATCTTCACAGGCCGGCAACACATGGTCGCCTGGTGGGACTCACAGCCAGATGACGGGATGAGTCAAAAGGAAGAGATGTTTCTCTCCTTCTCTAATTCCTTGATTATGTTTCTTTTTTGATTTTCTTTTCAACATCATCTACCTCACACCTGCTCGTTTGCTCTCGTTATCAAAACTCTCATTTTTGTTAGCCTCTCCTCTTCTCCTGTGCTTGTCCACATGCCCCCCTACTCTTTCTCGTCTGCTCTGTGTTTCCTTTTATTTTATTTGGTTTCAGTCAATAGGAGTGTTGTTCAGGACTTGGTGATTACCCCTGGCTCCGTGCGGCTGCTGGCTGACTGCTGTAGGGACTGTGCTGGCCTGATGCTGGGCTACTCTCACAGGCTGCTGGCCGAGGCACTGTATTGTGTCTGCCTGAATGTGCTCATTGTCACTCTTTACAGCACACACCTTCTATACTGTACTTCCCAGTGAGGGATCTTCACCCATCCGTCATCCCTTTGTCCTCTGTTCCTCAGACTGAGGGTTGTGACGGGAAGGTGGAGGGGGGGCAGAGGCCTGGGAACAAAACTGCCACTGTGGCGATGATTGACAGGAAAGTTGCTCTACACAGACGTAACGATTAACAAGGCCGGGGAGTGGGCTGCAGACACACTGTCTGGTTAGGCGCTAGAGAGAGCAAGGAGGTATTACGTTCAACAACCCGTCAAAATGGGAAGTGCAACGATTGTGAAGGTGTACAAACGAGCTTTCATGATGCTATAATAAATGGTAGCCATATGCTACCTACTGGTCCCAAATGTCAGGCTCACATTATGCAAAGTTGTTACAGTAAATGAAAACAAGAGCTCCCCTGTGGTATGGTCACATGAAGCAATTTCACGTATACGACACACACCTACCTATTCAATATAATGTAGAGGCAGGCAAACATCAGGCTTTATAAGAAACTTCATGTTGTTCTGGAGCAGCCACAGACTATAATTTAGACCAAATAAGTGGTTTGCACATTTACAGGCAACCATACAAATGACATATTTTTGGACTTTCACCCCATGAACTGCAGACACAGGCAGTTAAACTGGCAACTTTGGGAGTATTCAGAAAGGGTCCTCTCTGTTCTGAGGGCAGATTATTTCAGATGTGTGGTCTTCCAGTAAACTGACCCCCCTCTGTCCATATGACTGTGGTATTATAATAGAAACAAAATCCATTTAAGAGGGAGCCCACCTAGTGTATAAAAGCCACTGTATAAAAGCCACTGTGGCTCGGCAATGCTCCACCTGTTTGCATTTCTTTGGAAAAGAACTGGGGGAAAAGAAGAAGTCCATCAACCCAAATAGAGTCTTTTGGGAACAGCATGTCAAACCACTAAATCCAGTCGTTACTTGGGTAAATGTAGCTGTGTCATCACTTCCCTCTCACTCTCCACTTGAAATTGTAACTACATAAAACTTAAATACATCTTATTTGACATAAGGTTTAACATCAGCACTTTTCTCCCAAGGTACAGCTACAACATATTCAGTTTGATAAATGACCATGAGATGCGGATCATCTGATGATGGTCTTGACCGGATGGCACCAGTAAACAGTGTTAAGACAATAATAGTGTGTGTTATGTCTGTTGGTTGGTCTGGTCCGACTGAAATATCTGTTTTCATCAGATCAACATTTCAATACTTTGGTATATTATATGTGACGTTCCCATATGCCTGAGTTGTACTTTGTGTTTGGTGCTAACTAGCAAATGTTAGCATGCTAACACACTATATTGAGATGGTGAACATGGTGAAAACTATACCTGCCTTTAGCACTGGTGTTGTCATTGAGAGCACGTTAGCATGCTGTTGTTAGCATTTAGCTCAAAGCACCACAGCACTCCACCAATGTAGCATTACACTTCTATGACTTTTTCACACTCACGCTATCTATCATCATCTATCAAAAAATAAGCATCTGTGCCAACTTTCAGCACACATGTTTTTGACATTTTGTGCAAAGGCACAATATTGTTGGTACTCAAAAGTTTAGTGGCGCCTTGACATAAACATATAAACCCAATGAAGCAAAAAAGGTTAATATCTTGGATTTGGAATTCAAACATACAAATGTATATCCATTTCACATAGACAGATAATCCAGCTAGTAGACAGCGGCCTTAGACATGCAACCAACCGGCTTGCTAATGGAGTCCAGCATGCTAGTCTTTTGTTAATGCCAATCGATATGTATCCTCAGCAGATGTGATATCTGATCCTGTACAACACTGAAAGACTGACCACCCTCTGTTTCACTCAACATCTCTCTTTTTTTTAATCTTGAGGGGTTCCTCTGCCTCTCTTTTCTCTCCATTTCTCTGAGACAGAAATGCACTAAAAATTCACTGTTGGCAGCCACTCTCTCCCTATTTAGTTCTCAATTTCAGCCTCGCAAGACACTCTCATTATATTTTCCTTTTCTGGTGCTGAAGCATTAATAAGTGCCACTGTCTTTATGTGCAGCAAAGTAAACTGCATGTATATTATGAGGAAGGCTACCAGGAAATCATGTCTCCAGGGTTGCTGTGGGTAGTGATTATGGAAAGTAGCCTGGCCCTGAGTAAAGTCCCTGATTGGTAAGTGATACCATATATAGAGCTGACATATCATTAGCAATTTGCGACGGTAGTGTAAACCAACTATTATAGTTATGCAGCATTAGTGTTTTCTGAGTCTTACGCATTAGGTTTGATTCACTGCCTCAAAGGCAAAATGGTCCTCTGATATGAAACAAATACATTAGGGACAGCAGCCGCAAACAAACCGACTCCAGGGCCTCTCAGGAAGTTACTGTAATAGAAAAGTGAAACAGATACAGAATGTCTGTCAAAGAAACTTCATCTGCCTTTGGACAGCTTGGCACCAAACATCAAAACGCAGCACGAGTGGTGTGCAAATGAAATAAAAGAGTGACAAAGCATATGGGGGGTGGGCAGGAGCGGATAAATATAGAAAGAGGAACTGACATTTTCAAAAACTGTCCTCCCCGCGCCCACAAGTTTCACTGATGCGTGGATGTCAAGATCACAGTGCAAATTCTCCCACACAGCTTGCTGTACCCGTCGTTCACACTCGGCTGCTTTATATTCGCCCTCTCAGTCATTGTGCAACTGAAAAGAATGAGGCAAACCTGAGATGAACATCTTCAGTTAAGGTGATTTGGGGGGGGGTGTAACTGGTTTTTAGTAGGTTAAGATTAGAAAATGTTGCTATTTTCAAACAATGAAAACCTGATATCTGCATTTTCTGCACCATAGAATTAGAAATTGTCCTCTACATGCTGGCCAATGACAAATATCTGTTTCTTCATTTAAGTTATCTGTTTTTCTATGAAGTCACCCTTGTGAATTCCTCCCCTGTGATGGGAAAGCCTGTGCTTGTTCCTCTTTCTGCAGCTGCTGTACTGCATCCTGTGTGAAGCTGCAGCAGGTACAACACTGCTGTAGCACTGTGCATGACCCGGCGCCATGCCTTATCTGCACATCTCAGTAACCTGTGACTATGTTAATTTGAGCTGTTATGTTGGAGCTGCTGGTGCTTTCAGTGCTGCCTGTGCAAACACAGACACGGGGAAGAGTCAACAGGTGGAAGCTCAGCCTGAGTGTGTTCAAACACGAGGACCAGGCCACAGAATGTATCAACACGGCCTCCGTACCCGCCTTCCTCTTTGGGACTAGCAAAGGGGCACCCTTCTGATCAGTGAGTTTACTCAAAGCCAGGCCAGTCCAAGTAATTGCTACCCTCAGTGACAAACAACTCCATTCAGCTTAAGTGTCGGTTTACAGTTTACTCTCCCTCCTCCGCTGTGTGCCCCTGCTGCCCATTCTGCCCGGTGCCACGCTGCATTAGTGGCCTGTCAACGGAGTCTCTCCTGACTCATCAACACCTCGTCAGCTGCCCTTCAAAACCAATGCACATATACAAACGCCATGTGCCATAACCCGTCTGTTTATGTGTTTGTTTCTCCGAAAGTGGAGGTGTGCGTGAGCGCATGTGTTAGGGGGAGAGAGAGGGAAACAGTGCGAGACAGAGAATAACAAGA